CCCCAAAAAGCAAAAAGCTTGGACTCGAAACCTTTCACCTTTTTTCTTGTCGTGGCTCCAAAAGGCCCCTCCCCAGTCATGGACCTTCTAGTTGTTCTTGGCCTATCTCTAGTCATGGCTCCAAGAAGCTAAGCTGTTTTGAATGTATTTCCGGGTTCTTTGGGGGGTGAGGTTGTGCTCTTTGAGAAGCTCATGGATAGCCACTCGCTCTTCCTCACAGGAAACACCGACACGGTCTACGTGGCGTCGATCCTGACGCTGGGGACGGACGGCCCCACCGTGATTGAAGCTTGGATTTCGGCCCCGGTGACCCGAAAAATCCCTTCGAACCTTTTCACCTTTTGGCAAATGACTATTCCGACACCAGATCTTTTAACCTTTTGCAAAATGACCGTTCGAAAACCCCCAGATGACGCCAAGAGGCCGAATCATGTCTAGAGGGAACTCCATCTGCACCGGACATTCCTGGGCTTCCATGAGTCCCAGTAGATCCCAGTTGCAACAATAGGTCACCAGCTATTTTCCTTTGATTTTTCAAGGGTGGCGAGCCCTTGGTTACCTACGGAACCGATCGGTACATGGAATCATTGGGAATTTCTAGGGATGGTACCCAGCAAGTTGTTCACGTAGGTGTGTCTGTTTTTCATGGCACCCCCCTTCAAATTTGTGTTTTTTTTCTTGTGGCTTCCCTTCAAAACCTACCAAAAAGCGGGCACCCTCCCTTCCGCCAACAGAGCACCTTTGGGAGGGACCTGGAAGATCATGTTCCTCTTGTAGGGATTCAGGTGCCATGTTGGTGGGAGTGAGGGTGCCAACTCAAAAAGAAAGACAGACCCCCCTTCCAACTTGCGGTTTGCCTTGCGGCTTCCCTTTAACACCTACAACCAAGGGGTACTTTGGTGCATTTCGCCAAGGGATGTTAGGAGACTTTCACTTTTTGCCAACTAGTGGGTTTTCCACTTGCACTGCTCAAAGTGAAGCTTTTGGCAGGGCAGCGGAAGGCGGCCAAGGGTAGGATATGAGGTTCCTCAAAAAAGTCGACCCAGCCACCTCACGCCTCCGCCTCTCCGCTCGCTGATTCAAGCCTCGAGACTCGAGGAAGTGCCGGGGGGCGCGGGCCCCGGCACCGTGAACGACGCCTTCTTCCGCTTCGTGAACGATATGGGTGGGCCGGGGCCCGACAAGGGGGCTGGAGGGAAATACTTGCGCCCCGGCCGGCACTGGGAATCAAGTCCTTCCACCCCAATCCTTCTTTTTTTTTTTTTTTCCTCCGGGTCTTTTCGCCGCTTGCTTGTGTTGTTTGGCCAGTTTCTTTGTTTCTTCTGTGGGTATGATCCATGTTCTGGTCATTTACTGGGGGAGTTGCATATTCAAGGCCATCCGAATCATCCGGGCTGAGGATTGTGGCACCCGGCTATGAGGGCAAGCTGCCCGAGGGCTACCATGTCTTCCATTCCCCGACGCCGCTGGGCTCCAATTTTTCTCGGCTCCTTTCGGGTTGGTTCCACGGAGCCCCGGAGCCACCGGTCTACGGTGCTTGGGGTTGGTTGGGCGGTGTCTGGGTTTCCCACGAAACCCACGGGAGCCACGTGCTCAAAACCCGGGATGAAGGTTAGGGATCCCACACATAGCTGCGGATATCCGCCCTCTTAGACCATTTTGGTACCGGGTTTTGAGTATGAGTCACGAGAAGTTAGAGGCTTTTGGGTTCTGGCAGCCCAGGTACACGAACTTTGTGGTGAACAGAGGTTTCTTGAAGGACGGGCGTCCAGACTCTGCCGCTGCGAACTGGAAAGCGGGTCTCAAGATCTATCCCTTGGCGCGTGCCGGAAACCCGCCGAAGATGGAATTCATCAACGTGTCGGGGAAGGTCATGAACACGATCCATTCCAACGACTTCCACTTCTTCAAAGAGGCCTTTGAGGGTTTCAATTTGGGAACCTCATTGTGGGTTTAGTGGGAAGGTCATTTGGCGTCTTCTATTTTGAGGGCCCCCCCCCCCCCCCCCCCAATTTTTGGTGGATTCAAAAGGAAGACCCAAGGAAAACACATTTTTAGTGGGTGGGGCCTGTTTTTGCGACAGACCAGGTCGACGACGTCATCCAGCGGGAGCCCATCGAGTTCCTGGATCCAGAGTTGCGCGGGAGGCTCAAGGCGATCGGCATCGAGAAGGGGAAGCCCTTTGCTCCGGACGAGCGGATGACCCGACTTTTGAAGGAAGGCGTTGCCATCGGCAACGCCACGGCCCGCGCCTGGGCCGAAAAAACCAATGGCGGTCTTGGCCTTGTGGGAAAATTGATGACTTCCCTAAGCTTGCCAAGAAAGAGCCTCTTAACCTTGTGGGTAAAAGCTGGCGACTTCCCTACTGACTGGCAATCAGTTGATCTTTGCAGGAGTTCTTAGACCAACCCAGGCGCCATGTGCTTTGCCCCACGTGGGGCTTGCAGGATGTACAGCGAGGATTCTGAATGGCTCACCTTCTATGCGGGCTGGGATTATCAATGGCTGGAGCAGGGTGCCAGGAATCTGGATGCCAGGATCTGAGGGTTTTTGTATTACACCCTGGGATTACACCCTTTAAACATGACCCAGAATGGTTCAAACGTGCATGTGCCCAAATGGGGTCAATATTTTCAGTGGGTGTACTCCCAGGGTATAATGCAAAACCCTTCAGGACCAGATACTTCTACCTGGCCACCCTGAACACACCCGCCATGGTTCTCAAGATGGTCGGCGTGGGCTCCCAGTACGCGCTGCTGGCGCGAGATGGGAAGCACCAGTACTTGGACGGAGGCGAGTTCCGGGTTGTGCGCTCCGTTTGCGGAAGAAACCAGCAGCTTTCCTGGTAGTGTAGAATCCCTTTTCAAGGGAGGCTGTCGGTTTCAGGGGAAATGACAAACCCTGGAGGCAAGTGCTACTCGTTGACCTTGCCGCCCAATGTGCCCGCCAAGGATTTCTGGTCCGTGGTGATCTACGATGCCCAGCATAGGTCCATGCTGCAAACCGAGCAGGTGTCGCCGGGCAGAAACTCCGTTCGCCATCCCGACATCAAGCCGAATTCCGATGGCTCCACGACTGGAGTAAGTGTGATAAAAAACCTTTTGCCCAAAGGGTGTTTCCATATATGGCCATGTTTTTAAATAAGGAACCCCAGAAAAAGTGGTTGGTGGACATAACCCCCCACCTAAATGATGTCCACCAGAGGGTCCTTGATTGAAATTAAGGCCCATATGTTTGCTATGTTTGCCCCAGCAGGCTCCGAAGTGCTTCAAAGTCTTTCCGTTCGACACCTCGTGGCACCGAGGTTCCGTGACCATCTGGTTTGCGCCTAGTGCCCCGGAGGGCAAGGAGGGCAACTGGATCCAGACCATCCCCGAGAAGACCTGGTTCATGCTCTTGCGGGTCTATGGCCCCACGGACGATGCCGAAAAACAAAAACCAAAAACTGTAGCACGAAGGGGACCTTCGAAAGCGACGATGCTATGGTTAGGGCTGTTCTGGTGGCGCTTTTGGTTGGTGGTACCCTTTTCACCTTGGTTCAAAGTGAAACCACCAGGAAAGCCAAAATCCTTTGGGAGCACTTTATTTGGACCTACACTTGGTTTGGATTGGTGGTTTGACCCCCTTTTCTAGAAGGCAAATTGGAAGTCATGAATAGCCCAACATTTCTTCAGCCAGGGGGAAGGGCCCAGATGTCCAGTGGCCAGGAGGCGTGGTTTGACAAGTCCTGGCGCCCTGGGGAGGTGCAGGAGGAGCCGGAGATGAGCCGCAAGCGCAAGGGTGCTCCGTAAGAACAGAAGGAGCACACGGCTGCCATACGGGTGTGTCTGTTTTTGAGGGACCCCCCTTACTGTTGGGCTGTTTTGAAGGGACACCTACAGGACGCAACTCGTTTTAGGGGGTTTGACCTCATTTTAAGACACAGCCCTATGTGCCATGGTACCCTCCTAGAAGTGAGGCGGGCATGGTTCTTGTGACCGACAGCAGAGATAGCAGTCCGCCTCTGAACGACAACCAAGCCCTCGTGCGATCACCGCATGCACGGCTTTGGCAGAGGAAGGAAAAGGTTCCGGCGGCCAGCTCCTTTGAACACTGAAGATGTGGGCACCGTGTCGGTTTGGGAGCCGAATGTTGACTCTGGATTGATGAACCCGGAGGGGGGTTGGTTTGGATTTGGGACTTTGCCAATGTTGACCCTGGATTTCAAGAACCTGCAGCCTCTTAAGTGGGATGCACTCTATCCATCTGGGTTGCATTTCCACTGCCTCTGAAGTTGGTTCATATTGGCGTTCCCCGCAGGCAGCCGCCACCGGAAGGTGATGTTTAACATCTGTTTTGTTTGAGGGTACCCCAACGTTTAAGCTGGTTTTTGTTTGAGGGAACCCTTTTCAGGGTGGTTGAACGGGAGACCACAAGGACACCGAGCCCCACCCATGGTTCGGGGTCCGAATCCCTCTGAGAAACATTCGGGAGGCTCCGAGAGCAAAAGCTTCGCCCGGGAGGCGAGGGCGAAGGGGGCGCATTTGGTTGAAGATGTGGGTGGCTCAAAATTAAACAGGAGGGGCAAACCGCAGGTTTTGGTCCATGTTGCCACTTACCAGGGTTCCACTTTGGCACCAGTTTGTTGAGCCAATGGTTTTGATGTTATTTTACACTACTCAGTTGTCCAAAGCCCACCTGATGACCTTCTGGCTTTCTCATTCTGGTCAATTTTTAGTCATGGTCCCAAAAGGGTAAGCATGTATTTCTGGTTTCTTTGGGCAACTGAGACTATGAAATATTGATTTGATCTTGTTTTGCTTTTGGTTTTGTTTGGATATAGTCTTTAAGGCTCCATATGGATGTCATTTTTCATTTTGGGCTTCGCGCATAGACCATCAGCTTCACTCAGAAAACATCTCAGTCTTGAGAGCGAACGCCGACGAAGAACGGACAGCGCGTTCGTTGGGTTCCGGCTGCTGGCTTTCGGCGCGAGATTGGTTGATGCTGTCGGTGATGCTGATGCGTTTACACGCAGCCAGTCGCACCCATCCGGAACATGTGAAGACTCAAGATTCAAGACGGCCGGAAGGAAGCAATTCCCTTTTGAAAAAGCTGGAGAAAGTAGATAAATCAGTCAAAGGACTCCATGTCCACGCAGGCCGGCAACATCATGGTCTGGAAAGGGCGTAAACCAGCGAGTTGCTCCTGATGAGACTATGGTCAATCCACAACCTACTCCCTTGTTGATGCAAGAAGGAAAAGATAGGCGAAGGCGAAGACTGCAAAATGGATAGTTACATGTAGGCAAGCCTTTCGGCAAGAGCATGACGATGGTCACACGCGGTTGGGTTCCTTGTTGCCGCGCAGAAAGGCTTTCTTCCAATCTTTTGCACGTGAACCCTGACAGTGGCTCCAATTTAAGCGAGGCAAACTCGGAGCTGGCCAAGATAAGGGCGGCCAACAAACGGTACCGCGGCCCCTGTCTGAAAGGCAAAGAAGTTCTCTTCAACCCAAGATCTGGGCTTGGCCCGGCCGCTCCCCTACCCAAATGGGTGCAATTCAAAAAAAACATGGGCCACGTGATTTGCATTTGCCAGGGCTCCCCGAGCACGGCCGACTGCTGGAACCGCCTGCGCGACAAGGAGACATGACAGCCGCTGCTTTCGGTGGCTTTGGGTGGGTGGATTTGAGACTGTGCAGAAGTTGTTCGTTTCGAGGAATTGCTTCTGTTTTATTGGGGCAGTTGTTTGTAGAGGCCGTGATTGGTTCATTCGCCACTCCACATCTGGCCCACTTTACTACGATTCCTCTCACTTTTGTCGTGCTCGAATGAGCTCCGGAAGTCTGGAAAGCTCACAGCTCGCTGACTTCCCGTCGGAGCACAAACCCAAGCAGGACCAAAACCAGAGGTGCCTCTGCTTTTCCTTGCTTTGGGCTTGGCATCCCAGCGCCAAGTTCTTAAGGCTGCAATGCCCCATGAGTGGATAGCCTCCGTCGGGTTGCATTTGGTCACAGCTGGAAGGGCCGTTCAGCACCCAAGATCATCGCTTCGTGCCCCATCCCCCCGTCTGTCTTGCCTGAAGAGGAGCGTGTCGAGGCCGAGCTGGGCTTGCAAGAAGAAGGCAAGACGGGCGGAACCCTGGGGGCAGAACAAGAAAAGAGCATGTAGGCCATCATTTGTCAGTCAATAATCTTTGAGGGTCGCGAAGTGCATTGTTGGCCGCCCGTCTGAAACACAGGGCTTGATTTCTGGATCAGCATGAGCAAAACCAACACGATACGGCCATACCTTTCTTTGAGATGTTTCTTCCGACAAACATGGTTTCCGATGGAATGAAAGCAGCCGGCTGCCGTGTCTCACAGAGAATCTCCCCCATCTTGTAGGTTGGCTTTCGGCTGAAATGGGGGGGCGTTTGGATGGCCCAGTGAGTCCACGAAAAAGGAGCCGGCGCCTGGCTCTTGACCAAGTGAGACGCAATCAGACTCAGGGAAGGTAGAGGATACTCTTCCCGCCATGAGGTGTTACTGTCCTGGGCCTGGTTTGTTCTTAGGCTGGTTGGCCCGGGCTTCGCAGGCGATGTTTTGAAGGAGGCAGCCACCCCTAAATTCTGCAGGGGAAAGCCATGGGTCCAGCCACCCCAGCCCACCAGCAGATCAGTCATGGGCTTCATGGCCGGACCTTGGGCTGGTCCAGCCAGTTGAGTTTTTGTCCAAAACCATGGGCCATTCACCTGCAGGCGGCGACTCGGAGCTCTTTGATGCCTCGGCGCCGGGCAGGCCGTCGGATGCCTTCCGAATGCCTGGCTCTAACTCCCAGGTTTGGGGTGGCTTAGCAAGTCGCCGGTCTGTGGTTGTTTTTTTGGGGACTTCACAGTTCCCTGTTAAATTTGCTTTTTGGGGGTGAAAGATCACTTCCTGTATTGCTGGCCATTTCGAGGGAGCTGAGCTTTCTTTCTGCCGTGATTTCTTCAAGGGAAAATATGGAAGGACGCTGCTTCCTTCCAGCAGGAGACGAGCAAATGCTTCAAGAAAGACAGCTCCAGTGGTTGTATACTTCCCGGTTTGTTGGTGCCAGGGTGGCTCACTTACGTATATATGACACATTCCGGGAAAGCAGAGGGGTGGCAATCCATCAAGAAGGGTCTGGCGCTTCTCGCGTTTGGTGCCTTCTTCCGGCCCGTGTGCATGCTTGGGCACACGTGGCGGGTTGCCCTCAGATCGTGGGCCATGTGGGCAAGAAGAACACCCCTTGTCGCCATCCTTCTTGGCGCCCTTGGCAAGAAGATTCAAGCAATGGAGCAGCAGTCCATGCAGTACTTGTGCAATTTGCATCCTGCAGATACTCCGTCAATTGGCATCACATGTCTTGGGCAAAAGGGTTCACAGTCTTTTTCACGTGGTGCTTACACTGAGCGCGGTCGGGCCTCGAACTGACATCGCCCTTCGGTCCACCCCATCAAGATAAATAACATTGAAGTCAAGGCGCAGCTCCCTTTTTGGCTTATTTTTTGTTAGACATAGATGGGTTCCACTGGATTAGACGGGTTTTGGTTTCATTTACCAGGGCCATCTATGTTTTCCAAAAGGACATGGGAAGAGCTGGCCCCAGCTCACTTACGCTTGCTACCTTTGCTCTCATGTGACTCCTTGGCTTTTGCGCTCGCAACCTGGGAAAACGAAAGAAAACAAAGGGCGCGGGTGGAGGCTGTGGGATTTTTTGCTTCTATGGCTCAATCTTTTGGATGCTTCTGGAGTAGCGGTCACCTTGGGTTAATCAACCTGGCAGAGAAGCAGAGAGCTGTGCCCAACAAAGTGGAGGATTAGCTTTGAAACGGCCATTAATCAATCAAGAGTTTGTTCATCCTGGAGAATCGGGGGCCCAGTTAACTTAGCATGGGTTCCGTCACTTGCACTTTCATCAGGATATACTGCGATGTTGGAGACAGTGCATAGAAGGATCCCATTCCCCTCTTCCCCAAGCTGAGAACCCTCCCCCAAAAAATGGAAGAAAGGGTGATCCTGAGGGGAAGCTTGTTGAGGGTTGCCTGTTCTGGTTTTTATGTTCATCTCAAATCTGTGTTCCCCCTTATTCGTTTTTAAAAGAAGGTTTTTAGGGAGCTTATTTATCGTTTTCGTTAAGGTAATCAATTGGGTAAATTGTCGCCTTGTTCATTGTTGGGCTGGGGGCCGACATTTTTTTCATTTGAAAGAGTTAACCCTTTTAGTAGTTATAATGTTCTGGGGTGTTGGTGGTGTATTTGTTTTATGACGCTCTTCATATTCTTTTTTCAGTTTGAGGTTATGTTGATGAAAGCTGGTTTCTTCGTGTTGCTTTCGCTTGCCTTGATGATAATGACGATTACATATATCACATTCAATCAAGGTCTGAGTATATTGTTGTTGGTATGTTTTGTAGTATTCCTTGTTTTGTTCATAATAAACCTTTGCCTTCTCTTGTATTTCTTCTTTGTGTGCTTCTCTATACCGCCGTTTGCTCTCCAAGCATACATTACATTGTTTTCTTCCTTCGTTGAACTTTTCTAACAATTGAAAGACTTTACATTTGGAACATTGCTTTTTGTCTGTCATTGGTCTCTATATGTTTAAGGGGTTATTTCTTTAGATGAGTTTAAGGGGTGTTATAGGTTAAAAGTTCAGTATAATTATAACATATAAGATTTTACATGTTATTATTATATTATGATTATAATTTCAGTTCAGGATAATAATTTGATTGATTTGTCTTAGTTGCAATGGCTCATAGTGTAAGTCCTTCACGGAGAGCTTTTGATGGTAAAATCCCGACACAGAATGAGGCAAAATCCCGCCATAGAATGAGGCAAAATCCCGCCACAGAATGAGGCAAAATCCCGCCATAG